TACGCTGTCTCTGATTGGACGAAATGCTACGCCACTCTTGAAATGATCTGCAAAACAATAGCCAATCACAGAGAAAGCCCGCTATGCTGTTGTAGGCTACACGAAGATGACTGATTTTTTCAAGAAAACGAGATCAAATTGGTCGTTAATAAACTTTTTACAATACAGGCGGAAACAAGAAGATTTTTCATATGATAAAACTAAAGAGCACTCGGATTACAAAAAAGCATTAGAAACATTGATTGGCTGTGTTGCTTATACAAATAAGGCAAAAAAATGGCTAGATACTTTTGAAGTTAAGTTTATACTCCTTTAGCAATTCGAGATTGGGCAATTTCATGTGTTCAAGGACTAGAATACGTTCCAATCACTGAGACAATAACGTGACGTATTGACAACCCCCGAATAAGCTGGCTGATTACGTGTTGGCTGGCTAATAGTGGATTACGCGTTCCTTCGGCGTCCTTGAACTAAGAGCTAGAATACGTTTGGTCATTGAGACAGTAACGTGACGTATTGACAATCCCGAGTAAGCTGGCCGATTACGTGTTGGCTGGTTGATGATTACGAGTTCCTCGGTGCTCTTACATGTTATTGCCAAAAGAAAATAGTTTAGAAAAGGAATATTAATGTTTTTTTGTTTTCTGATAACTAGAATGAAAGATCTTCCAAGAGTGTAAATAAATTCTGGATGACAGTCAACGAAGAACTAATTGATAGCAAAATAAAAAATGAAGAGGTTTGGAAACTACATATATTAATTTATATAAAATACAAATTGATAAATAACGATTCTTTATTATGAATAGAACGAATATGATTTAACTTTGACCACTAATGTCAATAAACAAATGGGAACGTACGTAAATGCTACCACTTCTCGTCTTACAAAACGATTTTTAGAGTGTGCGGAAGAAAGCCCTCCAAAACGCGTGCCAAAGGTTAGTACTGTGGATTTGAACCCATTGAGAATTTATTTGTTTTAATTTTACAAATTTTGGTTCTAGGAAGCAATAAACGATTCTCCCAATAATCCTTTTACTGTATCTGGAATACCTGGTGAGAGTAACTCGAATGACTCTGGAACGCCCGATGAAAGCAATTCAGATAAATCCTATCATCCCAGTTCAGACGAAGCAGATGTATTGAATCGAATAAAGGGAAGGCCAATCATAGTTATGATTGGTTCACTGGACCAGGCATTAAGAAGTCTGAATTAAGTGAAGGCGCGAAAAAGGTAATATTTAAACTTTATTTAAGTTTATTTAGAAGAGAGATCTTAATTTACTTTTCTTTTTTTACACAGTGGTTTATCGGCACGCTTGACGTTTCGAATTTATTGTTAGAATATCGGGATATGTCCATCCAAAAGGCATCTGATAATAAAATTGATGAGGTTGCCGAAATACTGTAGGTTTTAGACTTCCAAATCTTTTATATGAATTCGATTTTGTGTCCTTTTTAATAATGTTTTCCCATGATTGTTATAGTTCCTTGAATCATATATTTTTGTTTGAACATAATGTATCAAGTGGAATTTCTTTAATGATCGAACCAGAATCATTAAAAAGTATTTTCAATAACATTAAAGAAGAATTTACACCCTATCAAATGTCTGATGATGATATTCTACGATGTCATAAAATGGCAAAGGTATGATTTTTAATATGATCTTAATATTGTGATCATTTATTGCAATTAATAACGTGCTTATTAAATAGACCGCAAGTGAAGATTTTGAAAAATGCAAGTCGTTATTAAGAAAATGGCAAAAAGAACTAGTTGATGATCAAGAAGATCTAATTCTAGAAATATTCGAGTCAATGTAAGTATTTGCAAAGAAAATAAAGAAAAATGTTATATCACTACTTATTTTGACATAAATTATTTTTTATTATATTATAGTATTAATACTTTTAACCCAGAAGTATATAGACAAGAATTAAAAGAGGACACTTTTGTACACGAAGTATTTGAACCTGTGATTAAACCTTTTTTCCGCAACATTAATTTTAAATGTGAATGGTAATTTTTTAACACAATTCTTTCTCTATCTTATATTGTAATTATAATGATTAAAATGTGTTATTGAATTATTTTCAGGTCAACTGACGTTCTGGAGGCATCCGCACATCGGAAACATAAATTTGACCCTTCATTACAGGGAAGAAAAGCCGATTTTTCAGTATATATGCCTATTAGAGTTAATAAATTTTATTTGCTTGTCTCGGAAATAAAGTCCGCCGATTTTATGTTATCAAATAAAAACAAAATCTCTTTGGAAGACTGTGATTTTGTGAAATTAGGCAATGAAATGAAGGATATATTGGATAAATGTATTAATAATGGAGTTGATAATAAAAATTTGATTATTTGTGGTTTATTAGTAGAAGGCAAGTTATATACATTTATACTTAAAATAATGACTCCATAATCTAATTTGCATTTTCTTTCATTCTTGTAATAATAGGTTTTCAATGTTGGCCATTTGTCATGGATTTAAAATACGAAGCAATATACCGGATGATCCTTTTGGGAAAATTTTATCTTCCTCGGGATAATTCGGATTTTAGCGTCCTTCCCACTTCAATCGAACGCCTTATGCAAATAAAAGTTAGTATGCAATTTATAAATATTATTTGATTTTATTGGATTCTATTACAATCTAATTTTGTCTTTTTTAAAAAGACTATAATGACCTGTTCCACTGAAGTCTGCAGAAAAGATATTCAAAACCTATCTAAACATAAAACAATTCAAAGAAATGTGATTTTACGTAATGAAATGACGCGACCATCTTTTCATACTCCAATAAAGATTCCCTGGAGTAATTAGTATAATCTCTAATTATATTCATAATGTTTTTCCGTATAAAATTAAATCCTATATAGCTTTTTCACTCACCCATGTAATCAATTATCTTAACGGATTAAAAAATAATGGTAGTTTAAAATGTTGTAAATTGGTAGTATTCATGTGATTTTGACGTCGCCGAAATTTTGATACTTTAGTTATACATTTTAAATAAATAATTGGATATATACAAACTGCTACTAAAACATGCAATCCGAGGTTGATTCATTAAGACAACGAATTTCTGAGCTTGAAGTTGAAAAGGCTGAGCTCGAAGCCAAGAATGCCGAGCTTTTAAAACAGGTTGTGGAAGAAAGCACCAAACGCGAAGCTGAGAATGTTGAGCTCAAAGCCAGGATCGCCAAATTGGAACAGATCGCAGAAGAAAATACTGAGCTTAAAGATAGAATCACGAAATTGAAACAGAAACAGACGCAGGCTATTACTAATAACAGGTGCCATCTCCTACAAAAGATATTTTACCACTTATCGAGAGCCATTTTGATGAGGAGAAAGGTATTACCCTTAGTCTCTTGCCTGAAATAGAACATATCTCAACCCAGGCCCAAAGGGGTGAATCTTTAGATTCATCTGAATCTTCAACGGAGCCTGAAACATCTACAACCTCTTTACCACAAGATATTATCGATGACGATTCAGTTGGGATCCTAGATTTTTAGAAACGATTCATAAGGAAAAGATTAGCAGTGAGATAAGAGACGAACCGGGAAAAAAAACTTCAAGAATCATATAATAACTTAACTCCACCAATACAGTGGCGATCAAATGTTTTGCATCACCTGGATCACAAAAAAGAAATCGTGATATCTCGCGATCTATAGATAGTAAAGTACAAAAAAAATAAACGATTCGAAAGTACAGTAGCACAGATATAATAAATAACCTTTGACATGCAATATTATGTAAAATTCCGGTTTTTCTGTTCACATATTTCCAAAAGTAGCGATGCAAATCATATGATCGTTTACATAATAAAAAATTACGGCATAAGCTACTTTCCAAATTTTTTTACAAACGAAAAATTTTTACTAGTGAAAGTCATATATTTTTTTTCGCACTTTTTATTTTGGTAGCCACCCACCTATAAATAAAAATTATGGTCTGTATTTCCAAGGAAAAATGCACACGTATAATCACACTAGTTCAAGAAGGTTATCCTACCCATGTTGTTGCAGAAAAAGAAAATATAGCATAGTCTTCTGTGGTTTGGATATGTTAAAAGGTCAAAAAAACTGGCACTGTTGAAGATTTATCAAAATCAGGGCATCCCAGAATATTTACATCATGTCATGAGTGTAGTATCATACGGTTACTAGCAAATGGTAAATGTTCTAATGCAGTAGAAATTCAAAAAAACCTGAAAGTCTATAAAAAAATTGAAGTAAGCGCAAATACTGTGAAATGCACATTAAGAAGAAATGGATTATCTTCCTGGATCAAGCGAAAGAAACCTGTTCTGGATAAAAAAGCTTGTAATACTTGTTACAATTTTTCTAAAGAATATAAGACTTGGAGAATTAAGGATTGGCATTGTGTAATTTGGTCTGATGAGTCCAAATTCAAGATATTTGGCTCTGATAGACATCAATACTATTGGAAATGGCCTAATAAACCATTTAATGAGTGAAATATAATTTCTACAAAAAAATTTGGAGGTGATAGTGTAATAGTATGGGGATGTTTTTCTTTTTTTGGGGTTGGTAACATTGTATGTATTTTTGGAATAATGAATGGAGATTTATACAGACAAATATTAACTGATGACCTATTAAAAACAATCAGATAGTATGGAATAAATAAAAATAATATTATTTTTCAGCAAGATAATGATGCCAAATATATTATAACTGAAACTAAAGAATAGTTCTATCATAATGATATAGAGAAACTCAAGTAATCATCATATTCACCTGACCTAAACCCAATAGAATATTTTTGAAATGAGATCAATCATTGAATACGATATTCATCCATAGTAATTGCTAATCCAGATCAACTTTGGGAGACTATTCAACGAGTTTGGATTGATATGAATATAGACTATTTAAATAGTCTTATTGAAAGTATGTCTCAACGTATTATTAATGTTTATAATGCAAAGGGAGGATACACTGAATGGTGAATGATAATTTTTTTTAAAAAAAATTAGATCATTTTATTTTTTTTTTATTTTATTTTTTCAAAATTTTACATTTTGTATAAATGAGCAAAAGAAATGCATCATGAAAAATAGAAAATGTTTTTATTTTTTTGAGTTTTTGCTTAATAAATAAAGTAAATAAAGATAGTTTCATGTTATTTAGGATTTAATAAATCAAATTGAAAAAAACTATTATTATTCATTATTTACTTAAAAAATTATTGAATCGTAAAGTTTGCTAGTCAGATGATGCAAAATATTTGATCGCCACTGTACAATCCAAAATATTAACCATGTTGATACCTGAATCTCTGAACTTGAAACCTATAAAAGAGCTTTAGGATCAGAATCAAAATAAAAGCCAGGACAAATCGCACAAGAAAAAGAGAATTGAGAATATCACTCAAGTGATAGTTGATGGTATTCAAGATAATAATCTTTTAGATTCAAATCATGTGATCAAAATTTCAGTGACGGTTCTTCACCAAAATTCTTTTACTATCTTATTACTTGATTTAGCATAATTATTTGATAAGGCAACTAATACCGAATATAATACCATAAAAGCTAACCAAGAAGAAACTTTATGCTGGACTAATTATGGAAAATAATTTATAATTCAGTATAATGATCTTGTGAAAAATAGTAATGGAAAAATTGGTGAGAAAAAGCTATTTATGATAAGATATTAGAGCACCTCATTATTATCCGTGAGAAAAGATCCAAGAAAATAGGAATACAACTCCTGGAAATTTCACGTAAAATCTTATGTAAAAAGACTCAAAGAGCCATAAAGACTTATAAACTATTCAAAAAAATAGGCATAGATAAAATTAAATAAAGCAAATTCTATTTCTGAATTGACCAATGAACAAATTTAAAAGATTATCAATAATATTTCTAATAATAATGAGTCTAATACAGAAAAGATTTGAGACTATATTCCATCAAATCACATGACTGAAATTTTGATGACGGCCCATTGTCAAAATCAATCTAAGAAAATATTACAAGATAAGTATCTCAACTACTCTCTCTATTTAATCATCTTGTATTTATAATTCAGAAGATGTGATAAACTCTGAAACTTCTGAATTCTCTCAAATTGAAGATAACAAAAATGAAACAGAAGTACGCATATTACCTATAAACAAAAATGCATCTCCTAATTCTTGTCTTCCAATTTCTATCTTACTCAATGATTCAGGAGAAAAATGAAATCTTGTTATCAAAATGGTATTGGATCGCTTTTCTTGTTTATCTTTTAAATATAACAATGAATATAACAATTATTATGATTATTCAGGAATATGTCCAGCATGTAATGAAGAGCATAAAGGAGATGGTGTAAAAGGTTGGTGGGGTGATGGTAATTATTGTGATGAAAAAATGTATCATCTCTATTATTATAAGAGAACTTTTAGTGGAATCCCTATAGTAAATGTGAAAGCGTAAGTCAAAAAGAAATTAGCTAAATATTAATAATTGCAAATTATAAGATAAATTCTAAGTAATATTTTTGCCAATTTATACAATCATGTTAAAATAAAAAATGGTGGGGACATGAAGTCCCTCTCTTTATTTAATAAAAATTATTGCCAGAACAAATATAAAAAATATAAATAAAAAAAAATTTTTTTAATTATCATCAGGATTCATACTGAAATAGTCATAGATTCTATTATTTGGATCTATATTTATAAGGTAGTTTCTAGCGGTAGGAGAAAATTTATGAAGCTGATAATGATTATTTCTTAATTCAGATGGTAAGCTGGCCTGAATCTGAGTTATTATTATGTTAACATGATTTCCATTAAAACTTTAATTCTGTAAAAATAATATGATCTGTTCAAGATAAGATAATTGAGATCAATGTTAATATAGCCATTATCACCTATTTTACGTTCCTAAACACAAAAAATATAGTAAGTAAAAAATTGTCTTCATAGACTGTATTAAATGGTAAATATATTACTTTAAAAATAAATTACAGGTAAGTGAACCAAGTAATAATATATATGAGCAAAAAATAATATTATTATTAACTTATCTTATGGGTGGGAGCTTGCTTATTTTATACTTCATATTTGTTAGATCTGAGAACCTATCAGAAGGAAAAATATATTACGTTACTTGAATTCAACACCAGTTTTTTTCTCCATAAAGCAATCCTGTTTCAGTTATAAGATTCAAATACTGAATCTATTTTGCTATTTTTCTAATAAAATTAACTCCCTTATAATCGATAATCAAGTTTAGATCTGATGATCTCAGGAGATGGCAAAGATTCAAAGTCTCCATAATATATGAATTTTGATAAAACTACTGATAAAGAACATCATACTCATTATTCTTATATAGTGCAGGACACTTAAAGACTATAATTACGTGACTTTGTCCTATTTTGAGAATTAAAAATTACTTTGGGCTAAAAAATCAATTTATACTATGGTACCAGAAGTTTATACTCGACAATCACATGATTTTATTTCAATTTTCTCTGGCACTAATATTTACACGTGATCTATGATTGATCAATAATATTGT